GTACGGTGTCGAATAATTTGGTGTCGAATAAATCTGTGTCGAATCGAGCGGTGTCGAATCGTACTGTGGTCAAACGGAACCCGCCCCATTTTTCAGGACCTTTAACTTAGACGAGTAAAGACGCGTCGTCATCATTTTCTGCGGTGCCGCAAATATAGTAGCTGTTGTAATCAAATTCTTTGCTCTGCGGTATGCAACACTTCCATCCTTTCAACGCAGACCATGTCGATGCATAATCAGCCAAGAAGCTGCTGATCTGTCTGATCTTGCGAGTAGACTCCACGGGACGGGACTTCCAAAAATGTAATGTGAGAGAACAGTGCCTTCTCGCAATACCGCTACTTTCTTGACAATAAATCTTTTTTCGACTACAAATCCTTACAGGTCCACAAACGTCGGCACAACCATGATGACGTAATCGTGTGACCAACAAAAGACAAATGCTATCTATCATAAAGTACTTTCGCTCTTAAACGATTTTCTGATTATAAAGGGGAGAAGCGCTGATGTTGCAGTTTATGTAATTTTGCGCACTACGTTGTTTAACGGATTGTATTCAATAACACGATCGTGCAAAATGAGACAATTGGCTGTAGTATTTGCTGGTATATTTTCTTTGCAATCGAATTCAATTCGCACATCGACGGTTGCACTTNTGACCGCCTCGTTTTGACGCGAACAATCAATGATCACTAAAGGACCAAATTGCAGAAAGTTGGAAATCGTGGGAAACGGTACGACAACACCACATCCGTAATACGCTTTACAGAAATGTGTGTACATATGGTACGGCATATTTTTTTTCTATCGAAATCTAAATGCAAGTCGTCATAAGAATAGAATTCAGAATTGAGATAAAGTTTTACGTTGGTCAACTGACAGTGATCGAATCGCGTGACATCTGCTGACATATCGTTTCTTCGAGCAGTCTGTAGCGCAAATATGACGTATCTCAATTTCTCAAGTTGTGTCGCCGTTTTTACAGCCCACGAGTGTTTAGTCGTGCTTTAATGTATGTAATAATGAAAACTCATAGAGATCCCACGAGCGGAAACTCATGGTCAAATACCGTCCGCTTTCCAGAGTTCGTAGNAGCGAGAGCTTCGTGACATCGTTCAATACTACATGTGGCATTCGCCATTGTATTTTAAATAATTCAATTTTTCCATCTAATGCTTCACCATATATCTCAGAAACTGCTGTTATGCAGTTTTTGTCGTTGCGCGATCGTATTAAAATTAGTTTATGACGTGCATTGATAATCGTACGCTTGTAGTCCTCGCAAAATCCTAATACCATACTGAGAGGTACGCAGAAACTAAAGTAACTATATACGTCCGTATGTTGTGTAATATCCCATCCAGCATTCTTCATGGCCATGCTTTTATCATGTGTTAGCAATACATAGTTTTTGATTGTGCTGGTTATTCCAACGTTTCTATTACGATCAATCTCCATACCATTGAGTTCATAGCGAATCTCATCGAACATAAAAGCCACACAATTATTACCCAGAAATACTTTTTTTTCGTCTTTCGTCGTTAACGTCATTTTTCCTTTGACGTAAAAAAAACTTTGACACGGTAAAGTGTACAAGTCCTGCTGTTGTATAGGTATGCGTATCTCATCACTGTGTTCAAATGTTGTGTTCACGTACGGATTATACGTGTGAGTTTCAATCCTAACGATACGATCGTCAAAGATCGGCTCACTTTCAACGTTTAAAATGTCGCACATATTTTCAAAATTCTCGTACAATAAATCCCAACAATTGTGAAACTTCAACGTTTGCCGAACTTAGCTTCTTCCGATTACTGTATGTCGTCGTCGTCATCGTAGTAGTAGTAATAGTAACAGGTGTTTGTAATGAAAACCTCGTATCTCGCGTNACTTGATCCGCCTCGTTCAGTACGAGCATGCCGCGTATTACAGCTGTCGTCGTCGCACGTGTAATCTGACGGTTATTTCTTCTCGAAAATCAAGCAAGTGTCCGTTCTGATCCACAATGCGTATCGTCATATCCGTAATACTCTGTACAATGATCGGAAGGTAAATGATCTGTGCTGGTGTTTCCGAGATCTTATATCCTGGTGGTACGTTCGGTGAGAACTCATGTATCGTATGCACACACCGGTTGTTGCGGTAGCTCTAGCAGTCACGTTGCACTCTATGCGAATAATGTTGATAATATTAATCGGCACGTCTGATACGTACCATTGTAGCGGCTCTAAAAAAATTTATTTGATAAGCGCAGTTTATTTCACTTTTCATTGTATTAGTGTTTGCGCGTGATATTAGTGGAGAGATATTCTCATTCTTATCTTTACTTCTTACATTACGTTGCATTATTGCATGTTGCAGATAATTGTTAATATTCCGCAATTCGTACAATCCTTCAGGAATTATAATCTGCTTGTCATCTGTATCGTAATAAAACTTATTGTTCGACGAATTCACATTCGGTATTGTACGATACGGTTCAAAATCAGTTAGTCCAAGCTCGTAATCACCGTCACTTAAATNAATGGCGGGACAGTAGCTGACTGCAAGGATGTTACTTTCGCCGGTAAGTGTAAACGTCAGTGACATGTTGTCAAATGTGTAATAAAGTCAGATAGCGTACTTTTTAAATGAATATTGCTCATCAACCGCTTGAAAAAACCGCAAACATAGTTGGCCACAATTGCTTTGATTGTAACGTTGATAAGACGTACGGTTATATTCTATTTTGTCCACAGCATGTTCTAGATAACGCACCACCTCTTTTGGTGGTCGAAGATTGCCGATACTGTCGAAATATATGACATGTTTTTCTCTTTTCGCATACGCCACCCAGTGGGTACCTGGTTTATTTGTATCATATAAATTGATGATACCACTCTCGTTAGGACGTACTACGTTCGGTAAGGTATAACGCATTAAAAACACCTTTAAAGAAAGGTATGCGCATGCGCTTAGTTAGCTGTTCCAACTGCATATTTGTTGTTACACCTGTAGGTAATTTTAATGTCTTTCCAGCGTTTTTTTTCTTCTTCTTTAAAAGTCTCTGACCGTATGGAGTCAGATAAATTCCCTGACCTTCCATCGCGCGATTATGACGCTGCATTTCTTCTATCTGTTGCTGCGCAGCTCTTGTATCATTTACCGTTTTTGCAACTTCCGCCGCTCCACCAACGAGTGCACCGAGAGCACCCAGCAGTGGTAGGANCGGTAACACACCACCGCGTTTAGCAATCGGAAGTATTCGCTTTTTTTTGCTGACTTGCTTTTTTTTCAACTCCATGCCGAGTTCTTTCTTTGTTTTCATAGCCGCCCACACGGCGGTCGCAGCGGCTTTCTTACCGAGACTCGAGTCTGCCGCTGTAATGCGATTGCGCGCCTTTGTAGAGAATATCTTATCAGCCACGTGTCGAGCAGCGAGTTCGTTGCTTCGCGAATAAGCTATATCGTGTTCACGGCAAGCCACGTCTAATGGATTAATTCCCCTCTAACTAATCGTTTCTCTAAACGCGTTCCCGGGCCACAAAATTGGTAACCAGGAATATGTAATTCAACGGGAAGAGCGTTTATGACGCGATTTAACAATCCACGACCTGACATAGATTGCAACATACGTTTGACATTAGTGATCTTCTGACGACTGAGTAGAAACGCGTCACTATGAACAGGTGCTACTTGTTATCGCAAGACAGTTGCAAAGAAACCATGCGGTTTGTGCGGCAACCTAAGGTAATCAAAGTAACTAATTTCGACAGCAAAACTCAACAAATGTCCGACAAAAAAATATGCAGACATGGAATAATGCTACCGATTACTATACGCGGTATTGTGTGCGGTCCTTTGAATTGTGGCACGACAAACGTAGTGTTAAGCTTGCTTGAAAGTCCACACGGTGTACGCTTTGAGAACGTGTACGTGTATTCAAAGTCGTTGCAACAACCAAAATATCAATATTTAGAGAGTGCACTTTCATCAGTAGATGAAATCTGTTACTTTACCTTTTCTAATAATACCGATGTGATTCCGCCGAATGAAGCACTTCCGAATTCCATTTTTATCTTTGATGACGTGGCATGTGACAAGCAAGATACAATACGAAAATATTTTGCAATGGGTCGTCACTCGAGTGTCGACTGTTTCTATCTCTGTCAGACGTACGCGAGGATACCAAAGCATCTTATACGTGACAATGCGAATCTTATAATTCTTTTTAAGCAAGATGGTACTAATCTCAAACGTGTGTACAACGATCACGTAAACACAGATATGTCATATGAGGAGTTTTGTACGTTATGTCGCAAATGTTGGCAGCACAAGTACGGATTTTTAGTGATCGACAAGGACAGTCCTTTCGACAGAGATTGCTATAGAAAAGGATTTAACGAATTCGCAATACCGTCGAATGGTTAATTGGTGTTGAAACATCAACCAAGTATTATCTCTTACCGATGCGAGCAATATGGCTGACGAAAGCAGTAAAATTATAAATCGCGAAAAAGTAGCGAAGGAGAGTTGCAAAAACGAGTCAATCCATTCGTCAAAAATATCGCGCTCTGAAAACCGGTAAATTAGAAGAGAAAATTGCATTAGAGAGACAGTTCAAACCTATTAGTGAACCCTTAAAACAGATTGCTGAAAATACTGAAACTAATTTGTCAAATACATCGTTTCTCAAAGACGAGACCCGAATAAGGCGGAAACGAATGCAGACGTCATCGAACGAAACATTGTCTACTACTCTGCACAATTCAAAGCGAGCACGATATAACACTGCAATGGTGACTTCTATTCCAACGAAAGAACGATACAAACGACAATTGACATGGGATACTTTATTGGTTGATACTATCGTCGCCACAAATGCTACTGCCAACGAATCGTTTGAGTCGACTATTCAACGTCAAATGCAAACGTTGGAGGGTCTTGAAACGTTTCATAGTCACATTGGACCGTTGGCGCACCAATATATGAAAGCTATTTTGAGTGGTAAGAAAGAGAACAACATAGACTACGTAGGGTGACACTCTATTGACCACAGTACGAT